GGGACGGCGGCGGGGGCGGCGGGGGCGGCGGGACGGCGGCGGGGGCGGCGGGACACCGGCGTGGTCTCCACCTGTGTAAAGGTGCTGGGCAGGATGAGGCCCTTGGGCTCAGCTTGACTTTGGTGGTAGCCCCGCCCTGAGCACAAGGCTCAGTGGGATGACCCCCCCCCCCGCCCCCGCCGCCCCCGCCGCCCCCGCCGCCCCCGCCGCCCGTTACCTGCCGCCCCCGCCGCCCCGCATTCAAACGGCGGCCCCGCCCCGGCGGGCGGTCCCGGGGCGGAGCGCGGCGGGGAGGAGCGGGCCGGGGAGGGAAAGGAAGGGAAGAGAAGAGAGGAGTGGAGTGGAGTGGAGTGGGTGGCTGGCGGTCCGGCGGCTCCGGGAGTAGCGATGGTGTCGCTGGGGGAGCGGTGCCCCCTGTCGGGCAGGGCCGGAGACCTGGCGGCGCTGTCGGAGCTGGACGAGGCGGCGCTGCTGTCCGGGCTGCGGGAGCGCTTCCTCAGCCAGCACATCTATGTGAGTGCCGCGCTGCGGGGCGCGGGGCGGCGGGAGGCTCCCGGCTGACTCGCTCTCCCCCTTCCCACAGACCGACGTCGGGGACATCCTCATCGCCGTGAACCCCTTCCAGCCGCTGCCGCTGTACGGCAGAGAGGTGAGCGCCGCGTCCCCCGCCGCGCCCCGCCGGCCCCCGGCCGCTCACGCCTGTCCACCGCCGCTTCCCCGCAGGTCTCCGAGCGGTACCAGCGCCTCCAGACCGACTCGCTGCCGCCCCACATCTTCGCCGTGGCCGGCCGCGCCTACCACGCCATGCTGGGCCGGCGGGGCGGCGGGCCCCGCAACCAGTGCATCCTCGTCAGGTGAGGGGCGGCCGGGGGTCCCCGGGGGCGGGCAGCGGTGAGAGGCCGGGTGGCGACCCCCGGGCTCTCGCTGGGATCTGCCCGCCGAAGGTTCAGGTGAAGCTCGTCTCCGGTAATGTTAGCGAGTCAAAATCCGTCTGCGCTGGCAGCGCATCCCTCATCCCGACCTCTTTCCAGGTCGCGGCAGAGGTGTGTGGCAAACAAAGCTGGCTTTCCTGGAGCAGCTTGGCCAGCGATGCTGGCCACGACGCTGAATATGTCAGGTTCGCTTTTGGAGGGACGTGCCTTTGGAAAGATTTAACCAGCTCCGGGGAAAGTCACTAAGTACTCTCCTCTGGCAACACAACTGTCTCAGTAACTGCTGTATAAAGGTTATACACAGTGGAAGGAACCTGTTTTCACAGAGTGGAGCTTCCCATACATGATCAAAGAAGCAGGAGGAATTAAATATGCTTTTTTGCTCCCTGAGTGTTGGGGAGAATCCCATTGTCATGGGCAGTGCTGTGTGCTAGAAGTGGGGGGAAAAAATGTTGTTCTAACCAAAGAGTGTTTCAGTATCACGAGCATTTCACTCCATGATGTCACTATTGTTCTGCTGAAACTCTGCAGGGCAGCAGGTAGCATCCGCTAGCAGAGAAAGCCTCAAACAGCATCCACTAGCAGAAAAAGCCTCAAACAGCGAACAGAAAGGCTCAAAGCACAAACTGCCACTTCTGGGTGTTGTAGAGAACAGTTTAAATGTCATCTTAGTTAAAATGTTAATTGCGTGTTTGATTTAATACTCCCTTTTTTTTATGGTGCTTCTGGCCATTTTGTCAGTACTTTCAGTCTACATAGTGTGGAAATGAATTGCTGAATCACTGCTGAGTGTTTTGATGGGGCTGGGAGCTGACCTTGAGGGTCACTCGAGCCCCATTCATTTCTATAGCCTGCAGGCCGTTTTATGTGAATTGCTCTCAGGAAGTGGTGGCTGTGGAGTCAGCACGTGCAAGAGGCACTGCTGGTAGGGCTCTTGGGGATGAAGAACAATCATCATATTTGCCTTGGGATGTGGAAGACAAGAACCTGTGAGCTTTTACCAAGAGGTCGTTGCTCTGATTGTTTTATGCCAGCAGTTTGTGGTCTCAGAGATGAGAGTTTGGTGTATTCTTGTGCATCTTGCAACCCTACCAACTGGTCTGTGTGTTGCTATCACAGGAAGTTCATGGTTTTGCTCTCTTATCAGTGGTGAAACACTCAGTAACAAGATTACCTGACCTGAGCAGAGTTGGGGTAGACGTGGAGGAGGAGAAGGTCACTCCTCCTAGACCACAGTTCGTCAAAACAGCACAAGGGCACACCAGGCTCTACTGTTCTTTGTAGTCTCTTTAGGGTCTCCAGCTTAGTCTGGGAGGTCTGCATGGCATGTTTCAGAGGTTGATGTTAGACAAAGCAGCTGCTCCCACATGACAGGTGTTCACGGCTACTGAGTTGTCCTGAGCCAGGAATTCTACTGGCTCCTCTTACCTTCCCAATCCCAATGGACATTAGTCATAGCCTGAGCATGCTGTATAACAGCACTTGGGTCACCTGAAGATGACTTTGCTTTTCTTCACAGCCTGGAGCAGTTACACACCTGCAGCTGGATAGCACTTGCAGGCCCTGCTGAAGCTGTTGTGCTTGTTGGAGGGTCCAAGGACAAGCCTGAACCTTAGGAGTGCTGACTGATAGTTCTCTTGTAGAGGAAGGAAGTTATGGGAAACAAAAATAAATCTGACATACCAAGCAGAGGCATTGTCTGGATGGCATGTTCTCAACTGGCAAACTGGTTTTGCTTTGTTTATGCTTATTTGGATGGTGCTGGTCTGAGCTGTGCTTGAGATCAGGTATGTGCTCTAGTATTCAAGGTTTCCATCCTACCTGTGACACATACTTGATCCCAAGCACAGAGCCACTAGGAGCTACAAAGCAGTAAAGCCATGCCACAAGCTCAAAGGTCGGCTGTGGAGATGGAGACCTGCCCTCAAGGATACTTCCAGCATTTCCTGCATTCATTTTTTTTCGCCATGCGTATGCTGAAGTTCTCAGCTGATGTGTTGTTATCAGTCAGGGACACGTTGTCTCACTGATCATATGTTCTCTATGCCAGGACAAGGCAAACTGTGCTTTCCAAGTGCTGGTTGTTTGACTTGGAGGCGGAGGCACCGTGGATGTGTGTCAGCAGGGTGACGTGCAGTGCTGACGCTGTAGGGGTACAGGCAGCTCTGTACCTGTCTGCCTGTGGTGTCAGCCAACTGAGGCACATGGATGTGTGAAGCACCTGAGATTTGAGACTGCCACTCCAGATCAGTATTCAGTTGTGGATGTGATATGGGTAGGGCAAATCCCTTTGGAGGAACAGGAAGCTGTTGACTCCAGCATAGATGAGGCAGTTGATGTATCAGATGATTTTTGAAGGAGTTTGTTTTCCAGAAGATAGATTCAGCTTTCTTAAGAAGCAGAACAAATGGTGTGTCTGGTGTACCCCATCCAGAAGTGACAGCAAGGGGTATATCTGTACTCCCTTGCAGATGGGGGAAAATTCCCCTGGGGAGAAGGGACCAGGATCTTGTGGGACACCCAGTGTAAAGCTGCGGTATATGGGTTGTACTCACACTTGCAATTTTGCTGAAAAAGTTGTGAAACTTGTCGAGAGCACTCTCTGCTACAGAGACACAGTAGCACTGAGGGCACTTAGGCCATAAGGGGCAAAACAACTATACTTTGCAGCCGCTGGAATCTCTTCTGCTTTTTCTTGGCAGTGGAGAGAGTGGTGCAGGGAAGACAGAGAGTGCGAAGCTATTGTTGCAGCAGATAATGAACCTATGCAAAGGCAACTTGCAGCTGGAGCAGCAGATCCTTCAGGTAGGTCATTACAGGGTGGTGCTTGAACATGGAGAAGCAGCACTGCTGCAAGACAACTTAGGGAGGCTTAGGAAGCCTGCTGATGAATCACCACTGGAAATCAGGGAACGATACGTAAGACACATAAGAAAATAGTAGATAAGAATGGTGAAATAGCTGATGACAAATTGGAAGGGTCAGTAATTCTGTTTGCTGGGGATGTTTCTTAAATTATAGAAAACTATTGCAATAATTTATCGTGTTCTCTGTTACAAGGGATTAGTGGCATTTTTCCAAATCGTTTCCTGTTTCAGGTAAAACAAGGAATTTCAATGGAAAAATGAAGTCTTGATTTAATGGTACACAGGCATGGAGAATCCACACAGCCTTCAGTAACGTTTACTTGGGTACTTATACTGTCAGGAAGATACCTGATAACTGGCTAACTGCCATCTTTGCTCTTTTCATATACCCTTGCTTATTCTTTTTGAAACATATTTGTCTCTTTGATCTGAAGAATTGAATTGAATTGAATTTCTCCAGCAGCACAGGCAGATGGGGAATGGGGGTTGTGCTCTCTTCTGTGCACATTATCTGTGCTACTGTCTTCCTCCTCATGCTCATCCCCTGCTCCGACGTGGGCTTCCTCCCACAAAAGACAGTCCTTCAGGAACAGACTGCTCCAGTGTGGGTGTGTTCCATGGGATGCAATCCTTCAGGAACAGGCTGCTCCAGCACGAGTCCCCCACAGGGTCACAAGTCCTGCCAACAAAGCTGCTCAAGCGTGAGCTCCTCTCTCTACAGGCCACAGGTCCCAGCAGGAGTCTGCTCCATCATGGGCTTCCCATAAGGTCACAGTCTCCTTCAGGCATCCACCTACTCTGGTGTGGGGTCCTCTATGGGCTGCAGGTGGATCTCTGCTCCCCGCTGGACCTCCATGGACTGCAGGGGCACAGCTGCCTCACCATGCTCTGCACTTTGGGCTGCAGGGGAATCTCAGCTCTGGTGCCTGGAGCACCTCCTCCCTTTCCTACTTCACTGACCTTGGTGCCTGCAGAGCTGTTCCTCTCACACATTGTCACTCCTCTCTTCCAGCTGCAGTTTTTATCTCAGAGGCGCTGCTACTATCGCTGGTGGGCTCAGCCTTGGCCAGTGGCAGGTCTGTCTTGGAGCCAGCTAGCATTGGCTCTCTTGGATGTGGGCAAAGTGTCTAGCACCATCTCACAGAAGTCACCCTTTAGCCCCTCCTGCTACCAAAATATTGACATGTAAACCCAATACCTCATGCCATGCTCTGGGCTCTGGAGTGGCATGTTAATTTCGGTGCGGCATCGTCCATGGTGGATCAAAGGTGAATGCTTGTGCTCTGTTGTGAGAATGTGATATTGCTACACCTGCTGTCTCTGCTTAGAGCTGGCTTGGGCCACATTGCCAGGCTGCTTCTGACCTGAGCAGGTTCCAGAAGCAGGATAGCTGTGTTTGCCTGGAGGCAGCCTGCAGTTCCTCCGCTGGAAATAACACTCCCTTCAGCC